CCCCTCCCCCCCCCCCCCCTTTCTTGCCAGTAAATTTTTTAGCAGGCTGTCCAGCAGCCTGGCTCAGTCCTGGCTTGTGCTGGGTCCAGGACCCTCCTCTGCTGCAGCTCTTCATTTAAAGTGTATTAGGAGCCAGGCAGGCAGGCAGCCTGGTTCAGTTCCAGCTCGCACCGGATCTGAGAGCTCAGCCCCTCTTTCCCCCAGACAGGGGCTTCTTCCACCCCACCCTGCTGCTTCTGTATCAGAGGCAGCAACACAGGCAATAGGCATCTGGTTTGCGAGGGGAGCTGGTTTTTAAACTACCTCCCCTCACGGACCAGCTCCCACCTGGCACCCCGCACTGCTGCCTTTGATACAGAGGCAGCAGCACAGCGTGATGGGGTGTAAAGGACTCGCTGGCCCAGTTCTCGAGTTGCTGGCCCTGCTGGGCCTTGACTGCCTGAACCATTGGCACCAAGGGTATCAAAACCCGATTGGTTGGGTGGGAAGTAGGAAAGAAGGGAGAGGGAGACTCGGGCCCACCCTCTCTCCGAGTACCAACCCAGGGCCCTAAGGTCAAGGGGGTAGACTTCCACTCCCTAGACCTGACTGACGGGGCATTGCCCTTAACGCGTCAGTCTGTGGTCTTACATCCCTAGCCCCGCCCTGGGTTGCTTCCTCTCCCTTCCCTCTCACCATATTCCCCATCCATCTCTGGTTTCCCCCAAGGCGTCCTCAAACCGTCCTTTCCTCTGCAGGTTCTTCACCCCTAGCTCTTCCTCCCTCTGGCTCCCCCTTTGTCCCTTTTGGACCGCCGTCCTTGCCCTGTGCTCTTCCCCCCTGACCTTAGCATCTCCATATTTACATCCGGGGCCTCTGCCCAGGCCCAATCCCCTCCGTCCCCACCTGAGTCGCTCCACCCCCTACCAGATGGGGAAGCGTCCGGTTGCCTGGCTACTCTGGCACAGCTGGCTGTGGGCATGGGCGCAGCTGGCCGTGGCCTCCGCCTCCCAGCGCTGGGTCGGGCTTGGGGAGCTCTGTGGCCCTGATCCCGCTGCAGGACTTGGCGGCCTCCCGCTCCCGCTGCTTTGCTGCACTTCTCTGCCTGAGGGGAAGAGGCTGTGAGTTTGGGGCCATCCTGCCCCATCACACGGGGGTTCCTCAGGAGTGGGGCCGAAGTGCACTGGCTGCCAGCCGCATCCCCAGGGACTATAGAATAGTTGAGTAACCAATAAGAATTCATGACGTTAATCGATTATCCAATTAACCAATATTTAACATCCCTCTAGTAGGGAGTGGCAGTGGGGGATGGCAGAGCAGAGGGGAGAACTTTCCACAGCAGGGTGCCACACGGGGGTTCCTCAGGAGTGGGGCCGAAGTGCACTGGCTGCCAGCCGCATCCCCAGGGACTATAGAATAGTTGAGTAACCAATAAGAATTCATGACGTTAATCGATTATCCAATTAACCAATATTTAACATCCCTCTAGTAGGGAGTGGCAGTGGGGGATGGCAGAGCAGAGGGGAGAACTTTCCACAGCAGGGTGCCTTGGGCTCCCAGCCTGGGGCTGTGAATCAGGGATTCC